TTTTTTTCCATCTTAAAGAAGTCCTCTAAGAGTCCTTATAATACTGGTTTGATGGTGATGCACTCCTTTAGTTTTTTCTTGTCTGGGAAGCACTTTACCTGTCTTCGATTTTAAGTGATAACCTTGCTGGGTAGAGTATCCTTGGTTGTAGGTCCTTACTTTTCATCACATTGAATATTTTGTGCCAATCCCTTCCAGCCTGCAATGTTTCTGTTGAGAAATCAACTGATAGACTTACGGGAGCTTTCTTTTAAGTTACTAGTTGCCTTTCTCTTGTTGCTTTTAGGATTTTCTCTTTGTCTTTAACCTTTGTCATTTTAATTATAATGTGTCTTGGTGTGGGCCTGTTTGGGTTCCCCTTGTTTGGGACTCTCTGTACTTCCTGGACGTGTATGTCTATTTCCTTCCCCAGGTTTGGAAAGCTTTCAGTCATTATTTCTTCAAATAGGTTCTCAATCCCTTACTTCCCCTCTTCTCCTTCTGGTACTCCTATGATGCAAATGTTGTTACCTTTGATGTCCTAGAGGCTTCTTAAACTATCCTTGAATTTTTTTTTTGGATTCTTTTTTTCTTTTGTTGTTCTGATTGGTAGTTTTCTGCTACCCTATCTTCCAAATCACTGATTCGATTCTTTGCTTCATCTTATCTACTGGTGATTCCTTCTAGTGCATTCTTCATTTCAGTTATTGTATTTTTCACTTCTGACTGGTTCTTTTTTATGGTTCCTATGTCCTTTTTTATGCTTGGTGTCTTTTTGCTGAAGTTCTCACTAAGTTCCTTGAGCATCCTTATAAACATTGTTTTGAACTCTATCTCAGGTAGGTTGCTTGCTTCCATTTCATTTCACTCTTTTTCTGGAGTTTTCTCCTTTATTATTATTATTATTTTGGAAATATTTCTTTGTTTCCTCATTTTGTTTCTATGTATAAGGTAGATCTGTTATGTCTCCCAGTCTTGGCCAGGTAGCCCTATGTAGTAGGTGCCCTGTGGGTCCCTGACACAGTCTCCCTGGTTACCTGCTCTGGGTGCTCCAGAAGTTTCCCTTGTGTGGGTTGTGTGTGCCCTCCTGTTATAGTTAAGCCTTGATTGCTATTGGCACTTCAGTGGGTGGATTTGACCCTCAGGCTGACCAGATGTGGGGTTTGACCACATCCACAGCTTGTGGGCTGCTGAGTGGGGGGCTTACCCCAGTGAGAGGGATTTGCCCCCAGTGGGCTCTGGTGCCTGTTGAGACTGTCCTTTGGGTATGCCTCCTGTGGAGCTAATTGGGGGTGCTCTGCTGTGGTCTGAAGCCAACCTCCAGGTATGTTGGTTCTGGGGCCTCTTGGAAGGGGCTCCAGTGCAGGTCCATGTTAGCCACTTCCTGTGACTGGCTGGGGGATACTTGGTAGGAGCTACAAAGTGACCTGTGGTTTTTTACTGCCTGTGCTAAACCTGGAGGCACATAGGAGAGGCCATGTTGTGAACTGGGATGGCTTCCACCAGTAGTGGGTCTGGGGTAGCTCTGCAAAAAGCCAGGATACCCTGAGGCCTGCTGCCACCTGCTGGCTTCCTTAAGGTTCAGCCACTGATAATGCCTCCTGTGGTATGCAAGTTGGATGAGGCAGGGTCTCAGGGAGTGATTAGAGTGGGAAGAACTGTGGTCATCAGGTTAATGTAAATTCTGGTTTGGTGCCAGTGCCAAGCCTAGAGTGACTCAGCAAAAGTCTCAGAGCACACTGAGGCCTGGGGTCTGCCAGACTCTGATAGCTTTCCAAGGGAGTGTGAAGTGGGCAAGGCTGGATGCTCTCCGAAAAAGTGCCTCCAGCTGTATGGGAGTTGGGTGGGGCAGGGTCTCAGTGAGTCAGCAGAGCCCAGCAACAGAGCTCACCAGGCCAATCAGATTCAGATTTAGCCGAAAGGGGCAGGCTCAACACAAAAAAAGATGGCGCTCACCTGCTAGCTGCACGGAAGGCGGACCTCTCTTGGGGAAAATGCCGATTGTCCTCCATTCCTCCCCTCGAAGCCACACCCCTCAGCCTGCATCCCCATATGTCTCCGAGCCCCCTACCCCAAGTCACCGTCCCTCCGCTGGAGCCCAAGGTGAGTGCCTGTAAATGAGTGAGTCTATGTATGGGCCATTTAAAAGGGCATCTGGGTTTTCCCAAAGCCTTCCAGCACACCTAAACAGTTGTTAATTCTCACTGTTTTTCACAGCCAGATGTTATGGGAGCTCCTCTTTTCAGCACCAGTACTTTGGGCTGAGGAGACTAGCATGGAGGGCTGCGGTCCCTCGCTCCTCTTGGGGGGAACCAAGGTGGCTGAGATATCCCTTCTGATTCTCAACCACCATGCACAGGTGTGTGGGGTCTGTTTCACGACTCTGCCCCTCCCACTAATCTTGACATGGGTTCCTTTTTATATTTTAGTTATAGAACTTCTTTTTGGCTAGACTTCAGATGGTTCTCCAGGTTGAATGTTCTATAATTTAGTTGTAATTTTAATGTGTTCATGGAAGGAAGCAGGCACAGTGTTTATCTACTCCACTGTTTTGGGTCTCCTGTGTCTGAAAATCTATCTGTGACCTTTCAAAATTGTAGGCCTGACAGTACTTTGTCCTTGAGGTTGGGTATTGTCAGGTACATAGCAATGAAGGCTTACCTGGCTGGCTGTTTTGCAGGGCTTAACTATCATGGCGTGTGCTGGCACTCCCTTGATGTGGAAATCTTCCCCAGATATAGCCATTTCCTATTTGACAAATGGGATACTTCATTGTAGAGATTTATTTCCTGTTCATCCGCTGATACTAGGCTCAAACCCTCCCCTTGAAAAAAAACCTCAGACCACCTCAATGTATGCTTGGTGTCTCCTCCCTTAGAAAGAGGTGAACTAGTCTTATTTCACTGCAGAAAAAAAAAATAATGCATTGAAAGTACTGTGGAATGTGAAGGGCAGACTCTTCTGAATTATTCATACAATTTATCCTGCTTTCCTGCTTTCTCTGTTTGAGTGTGCTGTATAAAGGGCTCAGTCTCCATTTCTGAAAAGCTTAACTTGAAAATAGTGAGCATGAATAGCCAGACTTATTGTGTGTGAGGGAGAACCTTCCTGTCGTTTTTTTCCCTGGAGTTCACTGCCGTTCCTGCTCTTCCCTCTCGGTCTAATTTGGATTGATGATCCTCAGGGTATGGCACAGCAGGGACTGTGGATGTATGTGGTTGATGTTCAGTAAACACTCAGTAATTGCTGTAATAACGACCCTAAATTATAGTCAAAAGAACCTTTTACCCAAAGATGCCAAAATGCTTTGTAATCCTCTTATCGAGTGGCTGAAAAAAATCTCAGAGAGGAAATTGCAATCCCTACTTAAAGATACAGAATCAGTAACCCAAAAGGGGTGGAGGGTTGGCAAAGTCACATCAGACTGCTATGGCCTACTAAAGTTGAAAGGGACCCTAAAGATCATCACCTTTAGTGGGCTCAGAGCTGCACAAGGCTGCAAGGGGTGGGAGTGGGCTGTGGCTCAGTAGGGGGGGATGTGTGTTCCCTAAGCTTTACCTTTACTCCCCATCTTCTAACTCAACCAGAGTAACTCCAACTATTTGTTTTTTATAAGATGCGTCTGAATAAGGTTTCCTTGTAAGAAAAGATTCCAGTTTTTTTGTTTTGTTTTATATAAACACTACTGGTCTACTTCAATCCCCTCATTTTAAGGTCATGGGAGCCAAGGCCCAACAAGAGAGATGACTTGACAGGGTCAAGCAGTCAGTTAGAACAGAGCTAAAACTAGAAACAGAAGGGCCAGATTCTTCTTCTCAAATGACACCACTTGCTCTTAAATCTACTTCAAATTCTCAACAAAAGCTCTCATGTTTTCCTTTTTAGTGTTTCCAGTCTTAGAAAAAAAATCGATAAAAAATTAATAGGACTAGAACTCCTGATAACAATGAGTTATCCTAAGCATGGAGGACTGTGATGTTTCCTAATCTTCATGTTCTAGAAAACTTTGAAACCAGACATTGCTCATGCTACAATCTGAAGATTTGGGAAATAATTATGTATTAATAATAATAATAATAATAATGGCATTAATATTATTGAGCCTGTAATGTGTTTCAAGAACAGAATATTTTAAGTGCATTATTCCATTTAATCCTCACCGTAACCCTACAATGGAGATAGAATGCACATAGGAGGAAACCAGGTTTAGGCTGGTAGGTCTCTTGCTACTGTATGTACTCCATATTGAAGACCTCACACTTTATAAGCATTGAATAGCGGTGATAAAACCTATGCTGCCCTGGCATTGAAGAAGCTTCTTAGATTTTCTTCAGACCAGAGACTTACCCAGGTGGTGGCTTCAAACATTTTGAGGTCCAGAGGGTCTCCCTGGATGGTCTCATCAAGAAGTACCAGAGAGTGGCAGCTGGTCATGGCAGCACACAGCGGGCCCCATGGCAAAGCCTTGCCCAAGGCAAAGCTGTGGACTTCCTGGAAGCTGAAGGAGAAAAGGGAAAGGGCTCCAGTGCTATCCCTCCATGCCAAAAATGGAGCTTCTGGAGGTGACTATCTTTTTAAAAAATAATTCAATATGCTTTGTTACATCACGTATCCACTCTTCAGCACCCCCCCACCTCCAAAATTAATAGTGCTTCATTCAGCCATCATCCTTACATGAGTTTAATGGGTATGAAAAAAGTTTATGAGGCTTTTTCAAGCTGTTTCTTCCTCTTTTTTTATCCTTTCTCTTGCCCTGATTTAATTACAGAGCCATGGAAGGAACTAGAAGTATCACCCTTAATTTTAAGCACATCTACTCCCACTCCAACTCTCAGGACATTTTATTTCCAATGCTGAGCCGGAACAGCCTCGCTCATGCTACAGCTATTTGTGTACACATATCTCTCCCTTGGTCAATCCTTCAGGGCAGGGCTGCATCTTCTGTATCTCTCTCTCCAACATATTTGATGTTTGGTTAAAATTAGACAGTCAATAAATGTATAAGTAAATAAATGAATGAGCTTGTCCTGGAAATTCGAAAGACCATAATGGTAAAGAAATAAACTCTAAAAAATATTTTTCAAAGTATGTTGTCTTTATGTCTCTGAGACTATTTCTGTTTTCATTACTCATGTATTCAGTTCTTTAGATTCGACATATAAGTGAGATCATATGGTATTTGTCTTTCTCTGAGTGACTTATTTCACTTAGCATAATGTTCTCTAGGTCCATCCATATTGTTGCAAGTGGTACAACTTCCTTCTTCTTTATAGCTGAGTAATACTCCATTGTGAGGAATATAATCAGTAATGTTGTAAATATTTTTTAGGGGGCCAGATGGTCTTATGTCTTGTGAGGGAGACCACTTCATGGATGGTGTAGATGCCTGACCACTGCACTGTACACCTGAAGCTGCCGTTGAATAATATTGTATGTCAACAATAATTTAATACATATATAGTCATGGGATGTGGAGTATAGTGTGGGAATGGAGTCAATGGAATTGTAATAGATATGTATAATATCGGGGTTCGGGGGGCAATGGATGGGGAAAGGAGGGTTGTCACTTTGTGAGGGGTGAAAAGGATAACTGTTGCATTGTTTTGTACACCTGAAACTAATAATAATAATAATAATAATATTTTTGAAAAGGACACCGCATCCCTCTTTTCCACCCTAGCATCTGGTGTCCATATTGCAGCCATCATTACCATTTCTTCCTATAGAAAGTGGCTCCATCTAAAGCCTACTGAGATACAACTCAAATGTCACATGCAGGATGCGTTCACCACTTCAGGGTTGAAGTGATCAAGTTCAGCCTCTGGCCCATTAGAGGAATGTCCTCTGCAACCTTATTGTCAGTCCTTTCTTAACTGTGTAGCACAGTAGATGGTTCACACAGCAGCCTATCCTAGGATGCAGAAGTTACTTCCTGCATCAAGGCAAAATCTGCTTCTTGGAGCCAGTCAGAGTCTACTTGCTTTTGTGGACCAGCTCAGCTGTACCTCCTCATACCCTATCTTCCTCTGGAGTGACACAGGAACCTCTAGCTGTGCCTTCAATATGTAGTTTCCAGACCATTCACCTTTCCAGTTACTCTATCATGAAAACGTTATTATGTCATAGTTTATCTTAAAATGTGGTTTCCAGGATCAGGCTACTTGTATTATTTCTCAGGATATGGACACTGCATTTCTGTAAATACTGCCTTAGGTTGCTCTAGCCGTTTGTTTTTAAAAGCATCCACATCACAGTGTTAACTCATAGTTCAGCCATATTTCTTCCTGGCTTCTTCATTCAAGCATCTCTAAGAGTTCAAGACCTCTTGGCTGATTATTGACCCTGTTAACCATATTTATTATTACATATCAAAGGCTCTAGTTATCTTAGTGGTTTACAACACGTTCCTGGTGTGTTAGTAACATCTAAAAGGAAGCGATCACCAGGAGTGTGATTAACACAAAGGCTTAAGCTCACACTGAAAAGCAAACACAGATCAGGAAAAAAAGAATCTTATTTTTAAGATGGCACACACACTGTCATCAGTAGGTAATTCTAAATACATAATTCTGAGTTACCGAGGATTGGGCCAAACTCTAGTTTGCACAACAAATAAATAGAACTCTCTGTCATCCCTGTCCTTGTGTTTTTATTTCAATGCTTATGGTTTATCAAGCTCAGGTAGCCTAGATAGTGTGCTGATGGTTCTTGAAGTATCTGGCATACTGGGCAGGTCTTTTTAGGAAAAGATGAGAATTATTAGAGATGAGCTCACCTTTCATAGGAAGACATTTAAAAGCCTATTGGTCAGGCACTGACTTCTTACTTAGAATTGAATCTATTTTCTCTCGTGATGAATTAAATTCACCAATTTAAAAAATGTTTTTAATTGTTCAGTCATTTGAAACTAACTTTGACCTTTTTGAAGGAAGGCAAGGAGGAAGAGTGGTGGGCCTAATTAGTCAATAACTTAAATGTTATATCAATTGTTTTTATTTAAATTTGACAAGTTGTTATTAGAAACAGGAAGTTTGCTAAATAAATGTGATGTCAATTCAATAAGCAGAGCATTCAAAAGATGGAACATAGTTCATTTCAAATAAATAAACATTTGCTGTGCATCTACTATGTGTGCTTGGCATAGCGCTACAGAATTAGAGGCACAAATAAAAATAAGAAAAATTGCTCTAAAGATGCTCACATATTTCAATAAATGTGTACACTTTTTGTAGAAGCTGAAACAGAAAAATATTAATGAACAAGGAGACCAGGTATATATCCAAATCCATTGTTGAGGGAAAATAAAAAGAACTTTAGAAAGTTTAAAATTTGCAAAAGGCTTCTTTTGTAGACTAAAGTGGTTAGAGGCACCAGGATTAATTTTTCAACCCAGGAAGTAGACTTCTTTATAAACATTTTATATTAATGTTTTAATATGAAAATATATTAGACACCTGTAATTAAAATATTGTATGGGTAAATTGTGTGTCCTCTACATTAGGCACCTTTTATGAATAAAATGCTTTGTGATTTAGTTTGTAAGTGTGAGAGGGAAATACTTTCAATAAAAAATTTTCAGTTGTTTTCTGTTCTGATCACACTGGAAATTGTCGTGGAGAGAATAAGCAGGCAGAGACGTAAACTCAGGCATGGCCACAAGAGGGCGCCAGGAGAGGGATGTGCAAATCTTCAGCCCTTGGAGATGAAAACAGCCAAAACTGAGACGTTTGCAACAGCCCAAGGTGGAGTTCTCAGAACTACAATACCATAGAAAATGAGTACACTAGCTCCAGATCCACAGATGTTCCTCTGATTGAAATTCAGGGTACACAAGTGAGTACTAGCACATCTAGCACACCGAAAGTCTTCAGTTTATATAAGGAATGTTGTCTCCTTGAAGGACAGTGCCCAAATTAGGTACACTGGGCCAACTGCAGGCCTCTGACTAATACACTGACTACAAATTACATTTTAGCAAAGATTTGAATGCAATGTCAAAACTTTCCCTTAAGTTTCTGGGTTTGTGAGTGGCATGGAACAGAGTCTGGAGTGAGAGAAAACATGCATGTTTTAATGTAAAATATTAGTAGAAGTATTCAAGAGGGGAAATTAAATGAAGTGACTCTGGCAATCACTGCTCATCAAAACCAAAGCTAAAATGT